CTACAAACTGATCTCGTAGCAAAAACTCAGCATTTAACATGGGGGTTGGCGCACTCAGTTTAACCCTTTCCATCAAGCTCATAAGGGCCAGAGAAAACTCTTGTAATGTTTCCCCTTCCTGCTGTTTCCTAGAAAAAAATGCTTCTTGCAGGGCTACATAAGACTGAGAACAACCATACAGTTCCTGAAGGATAGCAACAACCGTTACTGGATCTCCTCGGTCTGCGCTAGAACGATACTTAATCTCCTCCTTTGCTTCTCCCTCCAAATGGTCAAACATAAAGAAAGCCTGATCCCGTCCGGCAGCTGCAGAGGGACGGCATGCAGACCCTGTACCATGGCCTGCTGCCTCCCCTGCTGCAGAAAACCTCCGCGATGGCCATCATGTTTGGATTTTCAAACAATATGTCTCGGCTGCTGTCGCTACCTGGCAGCACCCCCGGGCTGGTGACCAGCAGCATGGCGGCCGTGTTTGCAGGCACGGTGGAGGCAAGTCTGACCCCCTTTGAGAGGGTCCAGACGCTCCTCCAGGACCAGCGGCACCACATCCGGTATAACAATACTTTCCATGCATTCCGGACCATGGTGCGGGAGAATAGTATGCGTGAGCTGTACCGCGGCACAGTGCCCATCCTGCTGCGCAACGGGCCCAGCAACGCGCTATCCCTCGGCCTCCGCGAGCCCATCAAGAGCAGCCTGCCTCAGGCTGAGACCCACGCTGGCCGGCTGGTCACCGACTTTATATCTGGCGGACTTCTGGGAGCCACGCTGGGCTTCTTGTATTACCCACTTAATGTAGTGAAGGCTCTCGAGCAGTCGCAGGTGGGTGGAGCCTTCCAATCCTCGTGGCAGGTACTGCGCACCATCTGCAGCGAGCGGGGTGGTAAATTGACCCACCTATACCGAGGGGCGCATCTCAACTACCACCGCTCCCTCCTGTCTTGGGGCATCACCAACGCTGCCTACGAGTTTTTAATGTGAACTGCTGGAAAGTCGGGCGAGCCTCTACTGCCCCCACCACAGAATTCAGAATTGCTGCTCCACGAGTCAATGGTAAGGGAAAGCTGTAGTAATATACTGTTTGTTGGCACTTCTCTCTTATTTGTATCTTTTTTGTATCTACACGTAGTACATACGCTCCTCTACTTATTTGTATTTTGCTTCCTAGTTATTTGTACTTGCGTATACCCTTAGAACAGGGGTGGCCAATCTCATCCACAAAGGGCCAGTGTGTATGCAGGTTTTCGCTGCAACTCCCTAATTAGACTACTAATTAGAGGACTG